TTGGGATGCTTGCAGCTTGCTCACCTGATGGGCTCCGAATGCCTTTAATAGCCAGGAAATGCTTTGGCTTGTCTTTAGCAAACAAGTATCAAAAGATTCCCGATACCCCTTCCCCAAAGGCCTAGATTTTTCACCAATGACAGTCGTGCATAAAGATCTTAATCTATCCCCAGACAGACATTCGTTCCTTGCATTCCATCGAACTGCAGCGTGGCCCAGAAACAGAAGTCAGGACCAAGCTGTGTAGATGTAAGAGATGAGATTACCCCAGTTTGTTTTTTTTAATAGCTGCCATCGCCCACGGATTTAGCGCATATCTCCAGAGGGTCCTCTACAATGGCTACTCTCATGCCAGAAAGTAAAGAGGTACAGTAAAAAAAATTCCAGGGGGAGGGAGGGCTGGGGCCCTTCTCTGTCTACTGCGCCTCTTCTGAAGACAGGCATTTTGCTAGCAACGACAGCAGAATGTCTGGATTGGACCAAAAGGGATTGTTTACAGATCGAGCGGTGAGCCCACCCAGGCTGAAAAATCTTTTCTTAGCTGCCGATGATCTCATTTCTTGGCTGGCTGCTCCAACCATCTCTTTACCATCAGTAGCCACCAAAAAAAGGATCGCTCTTGTGTTACGTAAGGGGACAGGCCTGCCTTTTCGGAGAAGGGGATACGCCTTCCTTCCCTAGCAAGACCTTTTTCGGTCATCTGCTTTTTCTCCTCTGGACGTTGCCACAGTATCAGATCATTGGGAGAGATTTAGAACAGGCTCAATCAGCCAGTTGGTCTTCCCAGCCATGGAAAAGAGGCTTAAGGCCGCCATGTCACGGGCGGAGCGATTTTAAGGTGAAGGACACCCTTATTTGATAGATGTTGAAGGGCTGGCATTGGGTGCAGAACAAGGACTAACTTCTAGGGTGGACTTTCTGTATGCAATGGGGGTTTTAACACTCAGATATAAAGAACTGGCTCTTTACAATTCCTTCCTTGCTAGGAGTTTTTACAAGAAGCTCTTCCAACTCTCTCATCCCGCCTGGAACCTAAATCGATTGCAACTTGGCTATAAATCTGTTTCCTCATATTCTTCTGCTGTCTTTGAGTGAGAAGATCCAGGAACAACGCTTGCTCTGACATTATTGCCAGGGGACCCTGAATTCGAGGCATTTTACAAAGAATAGCCATAAAGAAGAGTAGCAGCAACAATTATTGCTACTAGAACGTGGCCAACTAACCCAAGCCAAGATGCTTGATGCTTGTTGAGTTGACTCTTTCCAGGGAAAAGAAAGATGTGCTTCAGTTAAGATCTAGGCATGCACTGTGAAACCTATGGTGCCAAAAGAAAAACTGAGTTCAATTCCTGGTAACATCATAGCCACAGAGTTATCTTGGAAGAAGAACTGGTTTACACTCTCTTCTTCCATGGGGTTCTTTTGCCTTAACAATCTAGTCTTCACTCCTTGCTCTGTTGAGAATAGCCGTAATCTCTTAAGTTGGATAGGGAGAGGAATACAGATAGTCCTTGACTGATGTCCACAGTTGAGCCCAGAATGTCTGTGGTTAAACAAGACAGTTGTTAAGTGAATTTTGCCCCATTTTACAACCCTTCTTGCTACAACTGTTCAATGAATCACTGCAGTTGTTAAGTCAGTAACTGGGTTGTTAAGTGAACCTGGTGTCTCCATTGACTTTGTTCATCTGAAGGTCACAAGAGGTGATCCCAGGACCCCATGTGAGCCAGTTGCCAAACATCTGAATTTTAATCACATGACCGTGGGGATGTTTCAACAGTCATTAAGTGTAAAAAATGGTCATGAGTTATTTTTTTCCAGGGCACTTCAAACCGTCACTAAGCAAATGGTTTTTAAGTTGAGAATTACCTGAACGGGATACAGAATTAGCCAAACAAGTATGATCATATCTAAGCCAAAATGCCATGTGCCTATTTACACAAGTTTTTTTTTTTAAAGGGAGTTGTCAAAAGTCAAGCTTGTCTAATTGCTTTTCCACTGATGCTCTCTGTGGCTATGTCTCCTCCTATATTGTCTATCAGGGCCATGTTGGTTTAACAGAATGGAAAAAAAAAACTAGACTGCAGTACAGTTGACCAAAGCCTTCCCTTATCCCTTCCTAAGATCTAATAAATGACATACATACCTCTTGTGAATGAAGATTTATTTCCAACTGTGCTGGGTTGCGCCTAACCATAGCTAAACCTGGATGGAAGAATTTGCCCCAAAGACCAGAAAGATGTAGGGCAGGGGTCTTCAAACTTGGCCCTTTTATGACTTGTGGACTTCAACTCCTAGAATTCCTCAGCCAGCATGCCTGGCTGAGGAACTCTGGGAGTTGAAGTCCACAAGTCATAAAAGGGTCAAGTTTAAAGACCCCCAATGTAGGGACTTGATTACCCCACTTTTTTATCTGAGTCCAGAGATGCTCTTCCCATCTGGATCAGCCTTTTCCGGAACATCTCAGCTGACCGTGTTTTAAACTCATCCCTTTCCCTTTAAATAGTCTAATTCATAAGACAGATCCACAAGCATCAGCAACCAGGATTTCCTGGAAGTTCACACCACAGAGACTTTGAAGGCCTGATGAACGCAATCTAAAAATTCGCAAAATGCGATGAACCAGCAGTGCAAGAGGTTAAGTGTGCTTCAGAGAGCCAACATTAGCAGCCATCTAATGCGTCTTCGTTGGTCTCTGCCCTACTATCTTCTTGGCCTAACTGGGATTCTGGGTTTATCGGTAGTCCTTGACTTACCACACAAAATTCTTTTAGTAACCATTCGACGTTACAACGGCACTGAAAAAAGTGACTTATGACCATTTTCGCAGTTATGACCGCTGCAGCATCCTCGTGGCCACGTGATCAAAATTCAGCCGCTTGTCACCCATCTCACATTTGTGACGGTTGCAGCGTCCCGGGGTCAGGTGATCCCCTTTTGTGACTTTCTGACAACCAACGTCAGTGGGAAAAGCGGATTCACTGAACAGCCGTGTTGCTGACTTCACAACCGCAGCGATCCCCTGCACAGCATGTGCCAAGGGAGGGAGGTCATCCAAGGGGGCAAAACTCACTTAACAAATGTCTTGCTTCCAATAATTTAAATAGATAAAGAGCGTTGGTTTTGATTTAAGTATTTAATTTATATATAGCGATATATTAATGAATGAATTGGCTATAGGATTGTACTAATTTGATTATTATATTGATACTGAGCGGTTGAAAGTTTTTATTGATTAAGGAAATTTATATTTAGATATATTAATGAATGAATTTATTTGAATTTAATTGATTATAATATTTTACATAGATAGAGAGGGAAGTTTTAAGAAATATTATGTGAATGGTATACATATAATGTTATTGTTTTCTTTTTGTAATTGACCACCATATCTCCACGCTGGTTCTTAAGCTTCTGTTGGTGTAAAATGGAAAAATAATAAAAATTGTTTATATATATACATAAAAAAACAAATGTCTTGCTTAGCGGCAGAAACATTGGGCACGATTGTGGTCGTAAGCCGAGGACCACATATCGAAGAAAAAGAAAACAAGAGAAGGAGACAAAAGAAAGAAAAAATACTAGGAGGGGACGTTAAGCCCTTCCATTTTGCACGCTACTTCTAGCCTTGTGGTCTACAACAGCTGAACCTGGACCAAAATTGGAGGTCCAAAACTACCATTTTTTTAATATATATGTAAGTTGCAACATTGTGCGGGGAAGGTTTTGCAAGCCCGCTCGGTTGGACTCGCTTCCATGTCATTCTCCTCTCTTCAAAGAAGCATGCATCTTTATCGGAGCTGCCCCCGGGCTGGTGACAGTCCAGCATTTGAGTGAGGTATGACATTCCCCTCAACGTCCTCGTGCTCAAAGCATCTTCTCTCAAGGGTATCGGCTTCCCGCTTGTTCGCTCCATTTTTAAAAGCTCATTTTCAGAGACGCCCTCATTCTTCCTGACCTGGTTATCTTTAAAAAGAAAATCAGCAGGCTTGTACCTATTAGCATCCCCTTGACCTCAACATTTTTTGGCAACCTTTGCCTCAAATAGCTCAAATAAGCCAGACGGTGAGTATGATGTCCTTCGTACCCCAGACAGCTGTCCTTTGGGGCTGACGGTTATAGGGAAAGGAGGGGAGGGGTAGGGTGGGGGGGAGAAGAACAGACCATCAGCAAAAATTCAACATCCACGTCGCCACTGAGCTGGTCAGTTAACAAACGCATGCTTCTGTTGGTATGCGTTTCAGTGGAGGATACTTATTCTGGACAGTGTTTTGGGACCTGGTGGGCAACTTCTTTTAGGAGTGAGAAAGAATTAGGAGATAGCAATAGCATTTAGACGTATATACCGCTTCGCAGCCTTCTCTAAGTGGTTTACAGAGTCAGCATCTTGCCTCCAACAATCTGGGTCCTCATTTTACTGGCCTCGGAAGGATGGAAGGCTGAGTCAACCTTAAGCTGGTCAGGATCGAACTGCTAGCAGGTGGGCAGAGTCAGCCTGCAATACTGCATTCTAACCACTGCGCCACCATGGGAGGGACGGAGGGACAGAGGGAGGGAGGAAGGAAGGAAAGAAGAAAGGAAGGAAGGATAGCAATTGCACTTCGACTTATATACTTCTTCACAGTGCTTTACAGACCTCCCTAAGCGGTTTAGAGAGTCAGCATATTTTCCCCCAACAATCTGCGTCCTTATTTTACTGACCTGGGAAGACAGAAGGTTGAGTCAACCTTGAGCCAGTCAGGACTGAACTGCTGGCAGTCGGCAGAATTAGCCTGTAGTACTACATTCCAACCACTGCGCCCCCAGGGTTCTTATAATTGCAGATCACTGAAAGACCATCTCTGGAAAACTTCCAGGCACTGGGAAGGCAGGTGATAATTTAAGAAAACAACCTTTTCCTGTTGGGGCCTCCAATTTCTGGAATCAACTCAAAACCCTGGTGTGCTTGACACCCGCATCAAGAGCAACTGTGCAATTCTGGTTGCACACTAAAACCTTACCTCTGGATCAATGTCCCAAAGAGCAGCTGTAGGATCTTCTGCATGTTCTCTGACCATAGCCAACTCCACTGGTCTACCATGATCAGACAAAGAAGGTCCAGAACAATATCTGCCAGCAAAGTCTCTGGTCCTGCAAAGATACGAAGCTTTTACACCAGGCTTACCACTTCACTATTGTCCATTCGTTTTTTTTCCTAAGTCCAGTTGAGATACTAAAGATCACAGCACCATGAAAAGTAATGCACTTAACCATTAAGCTTGGTGTACTAGTGAAGGCATTAGGCTAGAAACCAGGTGACTGTGAGTTCTAGTCCTGCTTTGGGCATGAAAGCCGCCTGGGTGACTTTGGCCCAATCATCAAGAGACTGTGAATTCTAGTCTTACCTTAGGCACAAAGGCAGGCTGGATGACCCAGAGCCAATCACAGAAGTTCTAGTTTAAGGCCTGAAAGCTGACTGGGTGACTTGGGCCCAATCACCAGGAGACCGTGAGTTCTAGTTCCATCTTAGGCACAAAAGCAGGCTGGGTGACTTTCACCCAGTCACTCTCTCTCATCCCAAACCATCTCACAGGATTCTTGTTGTGGGGAAGGTAGAAGGAGGAAAGAGTGTTGGGCATATTCACCATCTTGAGTTATTTATAAAAAATAATAAAGGCGGGATTAAAAAAAGTGTAAAAATAGCTTTTATCCCTCCTTAAAGAACAAGACGTGCCAACTCTCCTTGGCTTAACCCAGATTAGCCACAAGATTTCCATGGGATCACTGTGCCTTCTTAAAGGCAATAAAACAAATCAGTCAGCAAGGGAGAAAACGGTTAATCAAGCAGTTATTTGCAGAATAAAAACAAAACATTAAGGAGAATCCAGACAGTAGGCCTCACTCAGCCTACAGACGTAGATTCATCATTTTTTTCTTCTGCTTGTGCAAGTATTACATGCTGCCACTGCCACTGTTTAATGACCGCATCAGGGAGAGCAGGAATGGGGTCATTAAGCAAGACGATCACGTGGGCACCTCACTTGACTACCGCCACAAGTTGGAACCATCATGGGCAGGCTCCATTAGAGTTGTAACTCAAGGATTAGCTGTAGCCAACCTTGGCTAATCTTAGAGCTGAGCAGCTTCGGCTTTAATCATTACTTATATGTGGGAACCATCTAAGAACTGCGGTGCACTGCAATGTGAGAAGCCACAGGCATTCAGAAGATCAGGAAACAACTGATTTGATTTCCAGGCCTGCTATAAAGAGATGTTTGTGCCTGGGAAATCTCCAGGGAGTAAGAACGGAGGGGCTTCATTTCTTTCCAAGCTTTCTCGTCTCTAGAGATGATATCCCAAGGTAGTCCGTACACAACCTGTCAAGAAGAGACTGGATTGCCATCTGTCAGAAATGGTGTAGGGTCTCTTGCTTTTTGGGTGAGGGGTTGGACTAGATGACCTATAAGATCCCTTCCAACTCCTATTCTATTCTATTCTATTCTATTCTATTCTATTCTATTCTATTCTATTCTATTCTATTCTGTCATTATTCTGTTCTGTTCCATTCCGTTCCGTCCCGTCCCGTCCCATCCTCAGCTTCCATGCCTCTTTACCTTTCCCCAGCCCATAAATTCAGTACAGGCCATTGTTTGCATCCCAAGAATTTGGTGGGTAGGAAAAGCCTTTAATAGATTATTGCAAGCCGGTCCTTAATTCGGTACTGGTTTAAACCCTCAGTACTTATTCATGAGGATTTATTTCAAATTCATGCTATTCTGCTGCCACCTTGTGGTCGATGACAGATTTGACAATGGAGACCATTTCTATTTCAAAAGCTCTATTTTTAGTCTTCGAAACTGACAGAATAGGCAAAAAGGTGTCTTTTAATGAGCCGTCAATCAATCTGTATAGGTCAGTGCTGTCCACTTCAAAGAATTCCAATTATATGGGGTCGATGGGCCCATCTGGCACTGTGAGTATGTGTGGTACACTTTGACAAAATGGCTGCCACGAGGGTTCGTTTTGCCAGGTCACAAAATGTTTGCCACAGTGGGGGTCATTTAGTTCCCCAACCGAGCGTTTTTCAGGTCTGTAGGACCGCAGTTTCCAACCTTCTTTAACCTGTGCTTCTAACAACACGTAGGATGTTAATGATGGAGTTGAAATTTGCAATTTCTAACCTGGGTTGAGCAATGTTGAAGAACACCTAGACGTCCTACAAAAAAGCAGCATATGAGGCAAACAGAAGCAGAAGGAAGCAAATTTTGGAGCTGGAGAGGACATACCAGAATTTGTCTCTTCATCTGCTGTTTGCTGTAGCATCTCTACAGGCGTTGGATTCAAATCTGAGGGAGCTTCTTCATCCCCCTCTGTCTCTGGACCTTCGCTGGACATGGCCTCCATCAACCTCTCCTGGTTCTGAATAAAGGACTCCATCCTTGCCAGGGAGAGGAATTCGGAGACCTAGAAGAAGAGGAGGATTGGAACAAAATGGAGAAATGCCTCTTTCTGCTAACTATTGGAAGTTTTCTTTCAACACTTCTCAGCCTTGAAGACAGACTTACGTTCGGGCCTTCCCTGAAAGAATATAAAATCTTCTCCTGTGTTCCGGCCACATTCAGCATTTTGCCAGATGGGAATTTCAGCTTAGGCCTGTGAAAAGAGAGGCAGGAAAACACAATATTCATTCATTTAATCTGAGGAGCTCGATCACTCCCATGGATGGGTTGCTTCCAACGGCTGGCCACTCCACAAGAATTCCTGTGATTATCAGCAGCTGCAAAAAATGTCAATAGCACGTCACTGTCAGCAAGTGAGAGAAAACACACAGTGTGTGGCTTCGCAAATCCTTTCCAAGGTCTATACCAGGAAGCATTTTGCATTTAAGTAATATGTTGCATCTTTGTGCCTGTTTCTCTTCTGCCTTCGTGTTGCGCTTGTGTGTGTACACTGGGAAGCACACGCTGGTGGAATACAGGTAGTCCTCATTTAATGGCCAGTCTTTTTAGGACCATTTGAAGTTAGACAAACCACAGAATGGGTGTTTTACTGTCCACAAGCCACCATCAGCCACCATAAATAGTCATACCACCCCGTTGTGGCCATGTGATATGTCTGGTGGGTCAGCTTTATTACTCCTTGCTGCAGTCCATGATCATGTGAGGATTCGTGATGGCTTTTGGTTTCTGCCATTTTTTTCAACAACAACAAAAAAAGGAGTCATTCAAATGAATGAGTTTGTTTAGCAAGCATTGCGAAGAAGGCCAGAAAATTACTTCCGGTCACATTGATGCCTTGACTTACAACTGTAGGTGACTTATGACCGTAATTTTGGGCTCAGTTATAGACATAGGTCAAGGACTACCTGTATACCTGCTTGGAAGAACCACAGCTGTGTCTTTCTTGGTTTGGGGTCCTGACAAACTGAGAAAGCAACTCAGACAACACCCTGCCTACTTCTCATGAAGAAGGAAGGGAGAAGAAAGCGCATTGAAACTTCTAAGACTCTGTTACTGCGTTTTGAGCGGGACCTTCCTGATTCCGCCTGACTTCTCTGCATCCACTAACCAGGAGTAGGCAACCTTGGCTCAGGAATTCTGGGAGTTGAAGTCCATGAGTCATAACAGAGCCAAGGTTGCCTACCCCTGCACTATCCATTGCTCAACTCACTGCTCAACTTCAGGAGTTCGATCCTGACTGGCTCAAGGTTGACTCGGCCTTCCACCCTTCTGAGGTCGGTAAAATGAGGACTCGGATTGTTAGGGGCAAGATGCTAACATTGTAAATCGCTTAGAGAGGGCTGTAAAGCACTGTGAAGCGGCACATAAATCTAAGTGCTATTGCTGTTGCTATCTCTCAGTACAAGTTCTTTAGATTAACCTCAACAGAGTCAAGGGTTTTACTTGCCTGAGGGACCAACTGGAGCAGGTCCTTACATTGGGCAGAATCTAATGTACAGTGGACATTAGACCAGTGGACCATTTTAAAGCAAAAGTGGACAACACACTGAGCAGGGGAAAGCAAACCGCAGAGAGTCCAGGGGGACACTGCAAACTAGAAAACACGAATTTGTCAAACACTCTAAGGGATTTCTTAAGACAAAGCAAAAAGTCTGTTCACCGCTTAGGAATGTCATGTCCAGCCAAGATTTTGAAAACCCAATTATCTCCTCCCCCCAACCCCCCATTTGATCCCTTTACTGAAATCAGATCTCTTCCGGGAGGGGGGGGATACAGATAAGAATCCGAGCAGTTACAGTTCCCTCAGGTCCAGCAAAAGTTTAGTAGTCAACTCAATAATTCCAACACTATTAGCAACAATCACCACTAAAGACCCAGAATAATTAAACAGCTATTCCTGAAGGACAGCATGAAGTATTTCTGCCCTTTCTTGGACCTGATAATTTCTGAAGAATACCAGCAGGACTAGACTCATGTCAAGACATGGATTAATGTTTGCAGGCACGGAGTGTTTATTCCCTAAAGGAACCCAATTAAGATATTCATGGCAGTATGACTTCAGGCTGCAGAAAGGAGTTGCTACTATGGATTTGCACATTCGAGCTCAACAGGAACTCTTACCTACTGGCTTTCTTTCCATCGCTTTGCTGTTTCCCGTCCACTTCTGCCTCACTCAGTTCTTCTGTGGGACTCTGTGGCTCAGATCTGGGAAATGCCGTTTTTAATGTATCCACAATGGCGTTCATTACAATCTGCAATAAAAGGAAACCTTCACTGACATAAAAGACAACACAGGTACTCCTCGACATAGGACTACAACATAGGACCACAACATAGGACCACAGCCTAAAATTTCGGTTGTTCACTGAGACAGTTGTTAAGTTTTGCCCCATTTTACGACTTTCACTGCCCCAGTTGTTACGTGAATCCCTGCGGTTATTAAGTTAGTAACACGGTTGTTAAGTGAATCTGCCTTCCCCCTTGACTTTGCTTGTCAGGTCACCCAAGGGGATCACATGACCCCAGAACACAGCAACCGTCATAAATATGAGTCAATTGCCAAGCATCTGAATTTTGATCACGTGACCAGGGGGATGCTACAGTGGTTGTCCTAAGTCACTTTTTTCAGTGCTGTTGTAACTTCGAACGGTCACTAAATGAACTGTTGTAAGTCGAGGACTGCATGTAGTGCTGCAGAGCAGTGTTCAGAGTATTTTGGACAGGGTAGACTTCCGATGAGGAAATGGCAAACTGACGTCCTGCAGATAGCAGGAGAAATTATGGTGCAAAACAACAGATGGATGGTGGATCTGTATCACGGAAATCTCTCTGGAGAAAGGAGAGATCTTGAGATTGCCTATATGTATTCTGGACAGCTGGTTTCTGTTGCTATTGTTTTTTTTGTGATTACACGGTAGTAACGTGACGTTTTTGTAATGACTTGCAAAAAGTGGGATTCCGTTCAGCCATTAGTGTAACTTTTTATAAACTCAAGGTTCAACCAAACCTTAGTTCTTAAATCAATTTGGAGGGACTTTGTTTTCTGCACTTAATTTTTTTCTAGACGAATTTTAGACATCTTCATACTTTTATAGTACTTAATAAAAGTACTATAAAAGAGAGAGCATCCTTGGACAGCAAGAATAAATTGGAAGCACTCTTAGCGGAGGTTAAGTTTAAGTATCTTGAATAAATAATATAGAAAAAGAATCTTTGAACTGTTGCTTGAAAACTCGAACACCATGCACCCTCCAGTCCGTGGAAAAACCTCTCTCCATGGAACTGGTTCCTGATGCCCCAAAGATTGGGGACCTCTGCCATAATTGATATCATGAACGTGATATCTTACAAGAAGTTAAAGAAGTAATTACGGATAGGCAATTTGATGTCCGTCAGGTCCCAGAGAATGAAATGGATCTGAACAATCCTCAAATACCCACCAGGTATTAAGAGCTATTGGAGGAAGTGGCTTGAAGCTAGCTTATTGGTTTGGTTTAATCCTGTATAGGAGTGTAATAACATCAAACACATTACCTTATCAATCCTGGAGACCACAAATGGTTTTTTGACGAAGGCAATCCTTGCATCCGTGTTCAAGGCCAGGAATTCTTGCATTTCTTCGCTATTGGCGATCTCAGGAATGGCACATAGTTGCTGCAACGGGCAAGCAGACAAGCAGTGAAGTAAAGAAAAATTCTGTCAACATCCAGCTGGGGAATCCAAATAAAACTCTAGGTTAATTCCGTTTCCGAAAATCTTACTGTTTACTGAACACACTGCATGGTTTTGTCGAAGCAAAACTAACTCTGAGGTTCCCACACCAATTCGTACACTTAAACAATCATTTTCCCAGCCAAATCCCTTAACGTCTTATGTAATTTATATCAAAAAGTTCACTTTGTTATGGGAACCATCTGCTTCAAATCCACACCTGTTCTGGTGTCTTTGACAAGGCTTCAGGCTCCCACGGACTTCAGCTGAATCGAAGAGGTTTCATTTCTCCATTTAATCCACTTGAAAGTAACATCCCCCCCACCCCTTAATCTAAAAGCAAGATGAAACGCAGAGGCACGTAGCTGCCAAAGTTTCATCCTTGACACATTCCCACCAGAGGTTTAGGACAGAGGTGGGTCATAATTAAGAGCAGAGGGCCGCATTCAACATTTCGAGGCGAGGGGAGGAGTGCTGAATTAGACAAGAAAAAGTAAAAGAGGGAGGATCACATCTGCACTGGCTGCTATTCCTTTTATTTTTATGAGGTATTTTTACGTGAGTTTTTAAAAATGACAATAAAACCAGGCCAGATTTAAATGAATAGCAGGAAGAAATCCTGACCTTCAGGAACGATTCCAAGAGACTTTTTCTGGCTTCAACTTTCTCTGTGTCCATGTTACCAAATGGAAGATCCGGAAACAGTTTTTTTGGACCTTTTATGTCTGCCATGTTTTTTTAAAAAAAACAAAGAGTAATTTTACTGCAACGTTAATCATACTAGCTCATCATTCATGATTAAAATATAGATTTCCAAATTGCTTGCAATAAAACCCAGCATTTTTCAGTTGGTTTTACATCATATTAGGCTAGCGTTTCTCAACTTTGGCAACTTGAAAACGTGTGGATTTTAACTCCCAGAATTCCCCAGCCAGTCAGGGATTTCTGGGAACTGAAGTCCACACATCTTCTAGTTGCTAAGGTTGAGAAACCTTGCACTAGGCCATAATATGATTTGTTGTTTGATCGGTGGTTTCTGCTGTCTACGTTCTATTAATTTGACCCTTGTGAGCTGTAAAGCATGTCCAGAAAATTGTGAGAACCTGCCCAATTAGGGTTAATGTCAGAAAGATGATCAAGGCTTAGCATACTATGTGAGAAAAGTCAACATTATTGGATTAAATGCCCCAGAGAACTGTGCTTCAAACTAAAACAGAGCTTGTGAAAAGAGATTAGGTGTAGAGCTAGCTTAACTATGCCTTTATTTCCTTTTATTCCATTTTTCTGACAATAAGCTTGTTCCTCGAAATTGCCTAGGCCAAGGACAATATATCTAGACATTTTGCAGATGGTTCATTTAAATTGTTGTCCCCAACTTAACCATGTCTATCAAAATATAAACTATGTGTATTTTAATACACATTTTATATGTTGTTTTATGCACCCTGTTGCTGAGCCATATGAAATAAATAAATGATCAATGATAATCGCCAATGGATAGAAAAGGGGAAGAGAAAAAAAAATCCAAGACAAGACATTCTACGTTAATTTAATTAACCCCCACTTTGCCTATAACAAGATTCTACAGAAAAGGAATTCAGGACTAACTTTTTATGAACTTCCGTAGATCTGGTTTCTCTTCCAGCCTGGTTTGTAGGTTCAAAAACTCGCGGTACCTTCGGTTCACGGTATGGTATGCCACTTGCTGGAGGCTGTTAGTGCTGTCACTGTCTAATGTTGTCTCATACTACAGGAAGAAGAAAAAAACCATCATGAGTGAGGTGACTATTTGCCAAACCAAACCATGTATAATGGTCTAAAGCAGGGCTCTTCCAACTTGGCCATTTATGACTTGTGGACTTCAACTCCCAGAATTCCTCAGCCAGGCACGCTGAAGTCCACAAGTCATAAAAGGGCCAAGTTTGAAGACCCTTGGTCTAAAGCTTGACTTGACTTCAAGAGATGGGCCGATTCTGTTGGCATTTCAGAAGGGTCATCTCAGATGTTTGGGATGGTGTGACAAGAAACACTGTTGGTTGGCTGTTTAGCTTCTGTTGATTTGTTGATGAAAAAGAAAGATTTTCAAGCATGTATCATATTTGATTTGTTTGGGAGGGAGGGAGGAAGGAAGGAAGGAAAAATGGAAGGAGGGAGAGAGGAAGGAAGAAAAAACAGGGAGGAAGGAAGGAAAAACAGGGAGGGAGGGAGAGAGGGAGGGAAGGAGAAGGAGGGATGGAGGAAGGAAACCAGGATTACCTTCACAGTGTACAAGGTGTAAGGATGGAATCCTGTTCCACTATGCTCCCGAGTAGTGATTGTTCCAGTGATACGCAGATTCTGAATGATGACAGGGCCATCAGGACTGAGTGGCTCAAAGCTGAAGGTGCCCATAGGGGCAGTGGGGGAGGAAGAAAGCAGACTTGGCAGATCTTGAGGGCTGTGTGCCAAGCTTCCAGGTGGCTCCAACTCTTTCACCAGGTAGGATGGCCGTCTCAAGAAAGTCTTTTCCGGATCCTCCAAAAGAGCAGTCAAAGAAGCTAAGGTGTCTTCTGCAACTGGCTCTATGTGGATGTCAGGACACGGGCCGAGGGAGGCGGCATGGAGGTTGGCTTCAGAGGGGAAGCCCTCAGCAATATCCTCTGCGCACCTGTCTTTCTCGCCCAAACTGTCTTCTGCATCCACCTCAACAGACCCTTCCAAATCAAGAAGGGAGCTAGCAAAGAGTTCTTCTGCGGACACAACAATCAGGGAGCTAGAGTCTTTCCCTGCATCAGACATGGGGGACTCAACTTCCAAGTCTCCACTGGGGAAGAAGGACCCGAGGGTACCAGGGTGAAGTAGGGGTGCAGCCACACTACCATTATCTTTCTCATTCATGGGAGTGTTCAGCGCTCGGTCAACTGGTTCCTTTCCCTCCACCAAGAAGTTCTCCAAACTATCTACCACGTTCCTGTTGAAAGGCTCAAAATCCCTCGGTAGGGTTTTATCACCCTCAGTAGCCATTTCTGGCTGAAGGACCAGGGGCAAAACACTGGGCACCGTGGGCTGGCTTGAGGAGGCGGGCGATACTTCTGGGGAACTCTCCACTACCTCGGTGGTGCCAGTGGCCTTCCTGGAGAAAAGGTCAATCCACAGCTGGTTGAGCCAGTCGGGATCCGCCATTTTGTTAATCAGAGGCATCAGCACGTTGCAAGTCACGAGCTCCACCACCACAAAGCGCCCAGTCCTGCTTTCCAGATGGGGCTCAGGCACCAAGACACGTAGCAGCAAGTCCACCGTGCGCCTAGTATATTCCACCTGGTGTGTAGGACTTTGAACAGCCAAATGAGGTTCTGAGAATTCACAGTAGGCTTGCCACAGTCTACCGGCCTCCTCGGAAGGGTCGCCAAGGCTTTCTGCTTCCTTCCGTTTCTCCTGGACCTTCTTGTAGGCCTGCAGGTGGCACCCTGCCAAGAGGAGGACCTTTTGGGTCAAGGCCGTCTTGTCCACCAGAAGCATCCTCCTTTTGAGCTCCACAGCCAACCCCATCATTGCTTTTTCAACCTCCTTCTCAAAGTTCTGCTCGTGGCTCACAGACCGGTACCAGGAAGACACAAAATCCCGAATGATCTTTTGAATAATATTCCGGATCTCTTCATCCAACTCCCTCTTTGCCTCGGGATTCGGGGGGCAGCTTTCGAGGGGAAGAAACCTCTCCAGGTGAATTTTGTGGCTGGTGCCCACCATCATTTGGGAACCCAACCAGCCCCCCAGTAAGGCCAACAAGCCTGATAAGATGCAGAGCAACCAGACATTGACCAGTAAGTGGACCACCAGCAACCAGCCCACTAGAGCCCCTAAGGCCATCAGCTTCCTACTGCCAGACAGATCGCCCAGCCCCACACCTTGTTCTGGCATCCTTAGCATCTTCTTCGGACCTTAACCTTAAATTAGGCTCTATTGCTTTAAAAATAACGGGATGGCTCCCCATAGGTGGCTTTGGCACTCAGGGTTAGGGATGCAACTCATAAAAACCCATCCGCCCACCTCTCTTGCGTAGTCTACACAGGGTCAATTTTGCAGCTTCCCTTGCAATCGGAAAGCCGAAGGAAAGCCAATTTAAAACCGGGGAAAAAGCAAAGCGAGGGCGCTCAGCCCTCTTTTAGTAAATAAGTAAACAAATGCATAAATAGATAAATGCAAATAAATCCTCTCGGATTTTTGTTTTGTTTTGTTTTGTTTTTTTCCCCCTAAGAGGCCGCACGGCATCCGCCTGTCCAAGGGCAGCAATGCAAAATGCAAAAAAAGAGGGGAGAAAATCAGCAAAAAAGCGACTCGCGAATCGGCTCAACTCAGCCCACGAGCGTCCCGTTTGCAAAGTGAGGAGGGGGCCCCGCTTGCTGACACTTTGGGCCCGATCCTCCCACGCGCGCGCGCGGGAGGCTCCTGCGCCGCGTCATCGTATCTCCCCCCCTCCGGCTCGCGCGCGCCACCCGCTCGCCCACACCTCCCCCCCGCACGCCCCAAAGCTCTTGGCGACCTCCTCCGCCCGCCGCCCGGCCTTTTCTTTGCAAGCCGGCCGGGCGTTTTGCTGGAGCTTTGCAACCCGGGCTGGCCTGGCCGGCCCTTCCCCGGGCCGCTAAAGAGCTGCCAAGAGGGAAGCGCGCCCGGGCGCGTCGGGGAATCGCAGTGCCACCTGGCGATCGAGGCTGTGCGCCGCCCAAGCCGCTCTTGGAGGGCAGGTGGGCGGGCGCGGCGTGGGCTTGGTTGGATCGCCGCTTCTGGCCGGGCTTCTTCTGACCCCGAGCTCCTAAATGGCGGTCTCCAGTTCCAACTTGAAGGTGCTTCCCCCCCCCCCCAAAAAAAAAAAAGGCAACTGGACTTTCTTGAGAAGCGCCTGAAGGCAGGACAAGAAGCAACGGATGGAAAGTAATCAAGGAGAGAAGCAAGCTAGAACTCAGGAGAAATTTCCTGACAGTGAGAACAATTCAGCAGTGGAACGACTTGCCTCCAGAAGCTGTGAGTGCTCCAACACTGGAGGTTTTTAAGAAGAGGTTGGACAGCCATTTGTCTGGAATGGTATAGGGTTTCCTGCCTGAGAAGGGGGTTGGACGGCCACACAAACAAACAAAGCAAAGCCCCATCCGTGGGATGCAGGCAGCACACAAAACCACACACTCTCTGATCTGTGGAAAAGTCTTTCACCACGGAACTGGTCCCTGGTGCCCAAAAGGTTGGGGACCTCTGGACTAGAAGACTTCCAAGGTCCCTTCCAACTATTCTATTCTATTCTATTCTATTCTATTCTATTCTATTCTATTCTATTCTAAAGAGTCTAGACACTCATTTGTCTGAAATGGTATAGGTTCTCCTGCTTGAGCAGGGGGCTGGACTAGAAGATCTCCAAGGTTCTATTCTATTCTATTCTATTATATAGGGGGCGAAATTTTGGCCCCCTCAGAGAGGGCACGCAACTTGGGTGTCCTCCTGGATCCACGGCTGACACTGGAAGACCATTTGTCGGCCGTGACCAGGGGGGCGTTTTATCAGGTTCGCCTGATTTACCAGTTGCGTCCTTTTCTGGACCGGGACGCTCTGCGCACAGTCACTCATGCTCTCGTCACCTCCCGC